TTTTTTATATATAATATCTCTGTCGGAGCTAATAGTAAATCGATATAACAGTTTGGTTTCAATCATAAAACTTATTATAAACTTATAATAAATTATTTGTTGTGTTTTTTGTTTGTTTGAAAATTTATTTAGTAATTAGTAGTAGTTTTTGGGGAAACAATGAATTGGTTTATAGCTATCGTTAGCTGAAGCTCTCCATCGACGTCGACATCAATGAATTACTGGCTCTTCCGCTCGTCGGCAGACTTATCACTGAAGAGGTGTTGAATAGTTTATACCAACCGATCACTATATTGGATAAGTCCAGGTCATCGATCACTATCTGCGCCACACCCATGAAGGTCTTCTTATCCAAACGCCCGTAATCGCCCCAAATCATCACCTATTAGTTCCCAACAGACATTAAATTGTGGTTAATTTATTGAATAGTATGTACAAAACTTATAGCTTTTTTATTCATTTCAAACTTCTAACTTAGTTATTCAATTCTTGAGCAAATTTCTGCACTGAAAAAGTGTGTGTTTAGTGCATGAATGCAATTATCTTTTACCTGAAGAGTACATCCTCTGTAGTCATCAGTGAAGAGCAACTGTTGCTGATATAACGGATCCAATGTTCTGCGGGCGGTCGCAGTCTTAGCCTTTGCGATGCATTTCCTCTCTTTGACGAGATATACTTTGACATAAGGCGCTGATCGACACAAATACCAGATTAGATAGAAATGATCACAAAATTTGTGGATTAGTGGTGGGGGTCGGGGGGAGACTGTGCTCGTGTCTCACCTGGAAGTGATTTGGCTCCCTGTTTGGCCTGCAGTCCTCGCGCTCTGACCACTTCGACCTCAAGGTTACCCTTTCGGTCGCATAGACTGAGCTGAATGTCTCCGAGATTGTGTGATGCGAGCGCTTGTCTGCCGACGATCTGTCCCGGGCCCAGACCCTCCACAAAGTTGGAGAACTCTCCCTCTGGCGCTAAACGCAACGTCGGAACCCATCTGTGTTTTGGTGGTGGCGTCGGTGTGTCCGACACAACCGAATGGAAACAATCATTAATATACAGCTTTGCGGACATGACTCGGGGCGGCGAAGTCTGGAAATCCTTGTCCCAGATTCAGAGGTTTGTAGTCCTGAGCCAATTGTATAAATTCTACCCTTTATTTCCATACATAAAGAAAAGCCATTTAATGCTTAAATTCTACAAAAAGGGATACTTTTGTTGTTTATTCTTGTGATTCATTTGACAGATATATTGTACACAGAATTACATCAAATGAATTCATAATTAAATTGATTTTTTGTTACTTTTATAAAAACACAAATTTTTATGTATTGAATAAAATTATTCTTGTTTTTTGTAATGATAATAAAATTATATATAAAATATTCATCTCATACATACATAGGAGTGCTTCACATAACAATGTTATCAAATGTTTTGATTAAGTATTTAAAAAAATTAAATTTACGTTTTTTAAATTGTTAAATATTAAACTCAAGTTAAATTTCTATTAGAAATATACTTTTTAAAATTAATAGATATCAACTTATGGTAAGACACTTACCAAACACTCTCTTCGCTGTCTTTGATCCGATCGGCGGCTATTCCTGAAGACATATTTCTTGTCTGCATTTCGTTTTATTTGTGGACAAAATTAATATAAAAATGAGTTACAAATATTAATATAGTTTTTCAAAAATTCAAATTTTAAATAAAATTATAAATAAAATTATAAATAAAATTATAAATAAAATGTGCCGGTATTGCATGTAAACTGTATACAATTTAACACATGGTCTTATCATTAATTTAATTTTACAGATATTAAAATTTCAAAAATAGTTAATTTACACGCTTTAACCGATTATAACCAATTGTAAAATTCAAAATTCATCATCGTCAATTTATGCACATTAATTTTTTTCTAACCACAATGTTTTATAAATAGTAATATTTTCTTAATACATACTATTAATAGGAATAATTTGGTTAAAATTAATTATTCAAACTAACAATCAGTTTAAACTAATTGTGAAACTAATAATAAATTGTTGAAAATAATTGAAAACAAACCAATAATTGTGTGAAAGGATGTGAAGAGGCTTTCCTATGGATACGATTGACGGCAAACACACTATACTTTGTATGACATCTACTAATCGCTGCAAACAATCTATTCATTGGTTAATTCACTCAATGTATTCACTATTTATATGAAAATATTTAAATACTTTTAATTAATTAATTAAATATTATCTGATTTTGGGTCCGAAGGAACTCTACATTACATATGATATACACTTTTCAAACAATATATTAATTATTTTCCTAATTTTGTAATCAATGAATGAATGAATTAACGATTGAATTGTTGATATATTAGCCGATTGTATGACAATATAATTAATGAATTGTAAATTAAGTATAATATTAAAGTTAAGGTCATTTAAACGTCAATACAATTTAAAGTCTTATCAAATCACATGTTATCTACGAAATACAGTCCACTTACGTTATAAAGTACGGCTATTGATTGTACGAGTACCTAAAATGAACTTGACCACTTATTTAACACGGTATTCAATAATCGACTAATGATTAATTCAATACTTATTATTGTTCACTATATCGAGAGTACACTAAACTAAATATTAATGTTATGAAACACTTAAACATGAGTAGAGCTGATTGTATTGTGAATAATGTTTATAACATTTGTGACATATGTTTATAAAGTGTAATTGTGTGTTGGCCACCAGTTTATTGGATCAGGGTAGATTAAATAACCAATAACATAGCAATTATTAATACCTGTATGTACAAGTGTTGCTAAATGTAACTAGATGATTTTCTAACATGAAAACACTGTGTAAAACAAGTTGAATGAGTAATCGGTCCCCAAATGAATGGATGTATTGTTTGACAACAATATGTTGTTTACAAACCAATAGTGCATTGAATTGGCGTTAAATGAATGGGTGTTTCAATCGTGGCTTCAATTAGACAGCAATTGAATGTAAAGCAAGTGTTTGTCTGAAATGGTTGTCAAACACTGTGTCTATAATGGATGCGAAAGCGATTCCCGCTATTGGGACAGGGATTACATGAAAGGTAGCGTTCAATTGATCCCAACAAACATTTGATCCCAACAAACATTTGATCCCATTTTATAACATTGTTGTCATATGTCTTGCGGTGTCTTTCAGGCGTGTGTTTCATCCGTTTCCCAAACCCATCCACTCATCGGCAAAGATGTGAGAAATGGGTTAAGGCATGCGATCGACCGGATCTCACCATTAATGCCGTCACCGACAAGACATACATCTGTTCAAAACACTTCATCGGCGGTAACGGACCCACCAAACAGAGCGCAGACCCTCTCCCACCCAATCAGGTATAAGACACTCGCAGATAGACATTGAGATCAACGATAACTGAAGTGAATTGATTTGTTTTGTCGGAACAGCTCTTAGCGGCCAATCAGTCGGCGAATCAAATGTTTGACATCTCATTGGAATTGACTGAAGAACAGGCGAGAAATGGTTTCTTGAAAGCGGATCTAAACGGCACTCAAAGCGCTAATGAATCCAAATTTATAACTAATTTATTGAATACAAATCAAACATTAATTCGTGACAATCAACGGCTCGTCGATAAAAGTGCTATAAATCATAGTCTAAACACTTCTTGTGCGCCGATTAACGAAGTGGTGGACATCGATGGCAGTGATAATAGTGCCGACAATTATAACAATGATTCTCTACTAATGTCTCAAATGACATCACAATTAGTGCCCCAAATGAATGATAAACAGCACAACTCCGAGAATAGTAACCATAATAATAATCTTAATAATAATCACAAACCGCTCGAAGTGTTGAACAATTCGCTGCCACTTATAATCATTCCGTCCACCAATCAGATGATTGGCTCAACATTTTCCGGTCAGTTGTGATCAAAAATATAGTTTCTATTGTAAACTGTATTCTTAATATCGATTTTCACTCCCGTTTTTAGTGCCGTTTATGTCATTAAATGGGGACAAGAATTGGTTCAATCGTATCCTAACCACCGAATTCTGTCTGAAGCTATCGGTCTATGGCCTGTCGTACGGACGGGTCGGTCAGCGCGTGTCGCTGTCGGCGATCGTTGGCTCAGTGGTCGAGAAGCAGCTGATTGTGGACATCAGCGGCCACTTCGACGTCAAAGTGTTTGGTCTATCGATTTGTGCCAAAAATCCATTCTATAAAATAGTGCCAAATGTCATACAATCGGAACAGCAGTTCCACACTGTCTTTGACTTGTTCTCCAAATGGAGAGTGTGTTTGGCTAATGAGATGATAAGCGAAGACAATCGTGTGTTTGAGGACAAGATCATAGCCATCCGGGCCTTTGTCTGCAACATTACGAATACCATTCGGAGCCGAAATTGTGAACAATTTTTGCCCGAAAGCGGATCCATTCGATGCAAATCGTGTCGAATACTACTGAATAGAATGAGAAAATTTAAATCATTGTCTTCTTCGACAAGAATCAAACCAAGAGATTCAATTATTAATTTATAACTCGTTGTTTAATTTATATAATGAATTTACATTTTTCTAATTGTCATGTATTGATTGTTAATGTTTGCATATTTAGACGATGACCAGTTGTTGCATATGGTGTGCACTTCTTGTTGAGCGTTGTTTTAACCGTTTGAATCCATTAATCGGATAATAAGTTCTAGTGATTACACAATCCATCAGTTATTTGCAAATGTCAACAGATTATAATCACATGAATTGCATTATAACTGTTGATCACATTATGGGGTAAACGGCTCTTTAATTTAATCTGGATTAGCGCTAATTGTAATATAATTGTTGAAATTATTTGACACAATAAACATTGTAAATGGATTTTTAATAATAAATTGCATTTTATTTTTTTATATATAATATCTCTGTCGGAGCTAATAGTAAATCGATATAACAGTTTGGTTTCAATCATAAAACTTATTATAAACTTATAATAAATTATTTGTTGTGTTTTTTGTTTGTTTGAAAATTTATTTAGTAATTAGTAGTAGTTTTTGGGGAAACAATGAATTGGTTTATAGCTATCGTTAGCTGAAGCTCTCCATCGACGTCGACATCAATGAATTACTGGCTCTTCCGCTCGTCGGCAGACTTATCACTGAAGAGGTGTTGAATAGTTTATACCAACCGATCACTATATTGGATAAGTCCAGGTCATCGATCACTATCTGCGCCACACCCATGAAGGTCTTCTTATCCAAACGCCCGTAATCGCCCCAAATCATCACCTATTAGTTCCCAACAGACATTCAATTGTGGTTAATTTATTGAATAGTATGTACAAAACTTATAGCTTTTTTATTCATTTCAAACTTCTAACTTAGTTATTCAATTCTTGAGCAAATTTCTGCACTGAAAAAGTGTGTGTTTAGTGCATGAATGCAATTATCTTTTACCTGAAGAGTACATCCTCTGTAGTNGCCCAGACCCTCCACAAAGTTGGAGAACTCTCCCTCTGGCGCTAAACGCAACGTCGGAACCCATCTGTGTTTTGGTGGTGGCGTCGGTGTGTCCGACACAACCGAATGGAAACAATCATTAATATACTGTGGGCTGTGAGGGCGGGGGAGTGAGAGAGTGCTTAGAGAGTTTGTGTGTGGGGTCGGGCGACAAGTTTCCTGACAACTGTTGTTTTTGTTTATTGTGAGGGGTTTTATATATTTATATAAATTAGTGTAATTTATTGAGATTGTGTAGACATTGTTTGGTTAGTATTGGGGGCGCGGGTGACGGGCGTGAAGGCGGATATGGACTAAGAGTTTGTATGGGATGAGGTGTGTGTGATATATAGGGCGCTAAAAATACTGAGTGATGGGAAGGGATGGTTGGGATTGGGACGAGGGATGGGATGAGAGATGAAAGAGAGTCCACTTACAGGGAGGACTCACTGCTAACAGAGTTCATGCTATCATCAGTCGATTCCTTGCTCTGCTGTTTAACAAATAGCGTGTTTTGGGATATATTGAGAGGGATGGGATGAGAGATGAAAGAGAGTCCACTTACAGGGAGGACTCACTGCTAACAGAGTTCATGCTATCATCAGTCGATTCCTTGCTCTGCTGTTTAACAAATAGCGTGTTTTGGGATATATTGGGCAACACTTCTTGACTACGGTGTACACCACTACTGCCACTACGACTAGACTTATGGTTAGTTTTATGACTACCGGTCTCTGCAATGACACAAATAAGTCGTGCAAAAAAGCCATTGAAATAAAGAAATTAAAATTTTTTGATAACAGAAATTAACAAACATTTCAATTATCTATTCGTTTAATACACAACACAACACATACACCACATATAGAATACATACTCTCTATAAGCCGTTCACTACTTTTATCTATTGGTACGGAAAAGAAAAGTTTTAGGAAATATTTTCTTGTTATTATATATGAGTTATATATAAATCAATCAAACAATAAATAATACAATGAATGAGAGAATCGAGAAAATAAACAAAACAAAAAATAGCGGAACAAAAATATTGCGGAATATTCTTTGCTCTGCTTATTATTATTATTGTCTTTTTTTGATCGGCCGCCAAAGCCTAGGAAGCAATTCTCTATACAATACACAAAACAGCAAATTGAATGCCATTTACGGCCAAAACAAATAGATATCGATTTGAAAGCCAAACAGAATATAATAATAATATAGGAAAAAGGGTTATCACTGAACGAATCAGTAAATCAATGCAATCACACAATCGCTAAACAAATTGTTTTCTCTCTACAAAACTACTAATCTATCAAAGCGTATAAAATATAGACTATAGTATTCACACACTATAGACAGAGAGCCGCAGAATATCAATAAATTCGTGCGATTTTCGTATTCACATACATATAAAATACGGTATATATAGAGAATAGATATACAAAACACATAAACACATGTATAATATTAGTTGTATTAATAGTAATCATAATGTATTGATTGTGTGTTATATGTTATGGATTAGTGGTAATGAAAATCGGTTATCGGTCTGTCTGTCGGTGTCGGTGGTGGCGGCGGGTGTGATGTGAGGCCACACCACAGGGGGAGCGCATCACTTACGTGGCAGAGCTATCACCGCTCAGAGAGCCCTCTCCATCACTGGACGCCGACGAACACTGTTTGACTAAATGTCTCACTTCGTCGGGCACTACCTCTTCGCTCCGGTGGACACTGAAAGACGTCGCCTGCTTTCGACGGAAACCTAACCTCTTTTTTGTGCCTTTCATTTCGCATACAATTATTCACATAATTATTAATTTTTTAATAGTATTAATT